CTGAGCCGGGTTCTGAGAGATGGGCCGCGTCTGGAAGAGGCCGTGCTGCCTGGGCAGGGCAGCCAGACGCCCTGCCCAGGTGCCTGTGGGGTCCGCCTGATGGGACTCGCTTCCGCTCACTCCGTCCTGGGGCTGAACGAATAGGTATCACCTTGTAATTAAAAGAAGATGAGAAACAAGATAAAACCACGTGGTAGACACACAGTCAAGAACTTAGCACCACTGAGTGCGCCGTATCTAAATGGATCAGGTATAGGACGCAAACAACAGCAACGGAACCTCTGACTAGAACACGTCATAGAAAGGAAAACAAGCGCTACCCTCCGCCCCCGAGCTTGCGGTCAGGCCCGTGATTTCACATCCGCACTCTGCACGGGACTCTTGGTACCGAGACTGAACCGGGCTGTGCGGGCTCCTTGCTGCCGCCGACGCTGCGGCGCTTTCTCGGCTGTGGCACGCTCTGCCCACCCCTCGCCTCGGGGGCACATCCCCGCCAGCCTGCTCCGTGGTCCTCACTCCGCAGACCGAGCCTCGGGGCGTAGCCACGTCGCCCATGCTGTCTGTGTGGTTTTGGTTTTCCTTCTTTCTGGCCTAAAGCTCTCATAGACTCGCCCGGCAGCCCTGGCAGCAGCCCCCTTTCCCGAGAACAGGGCCCACGCGTCTGCGCGGCGGCTGCAGGAACAGAAAGGCCCCAGGTGGTGAGTCTGGCGGTCACACGACCCCCCCAGGCTACAGGTGTCGAGACGCCCGCCACTGTCCTTGTGTGACACATGGGGCGGGACGGTCTCACTTAATTTCCACGTCGCAGACGAGACACTGAGGTCCCGACACGGCCCGTGCAGGCCCGGCGCCCCCGTCTCCCCATCCCCAGGCCCTGGCTGTGGCCCGCCCCTCATGCCACCGCACGACGACCCTTCACCCTGCCGCTGGCCCTGGGCTTCCCTGCCACCTGTTTTCCTGCGCTCACACTCCCCTTTGTCGGTCAACGTCCAGGCTGAATCTGGACGTCCGTGCGTCCACAGACAGAGGGTCTGAGCTGGCGTGACACCAGGTGCTGGGCTGCGACGTCACCTTTGTCTACAGCAGGGGGTGCGCTACTATTTGGATGTGTTATTTAATTCTGCCTCTCCGGTGAGAAGAATTGAAAAAGGAAAGCGATGTGCTGACGTGAGTGGTCAGCTGAGCTGAAAGGGCAGGTGGCACCAGTGCTGACCAGATGCCCACGGGACTGAAGCCCAACTGGGAAGAACAGCAAAGATAAAAGAACAGAAAATGCTAAAAACGTGGCATCAAAGTTTTTGTCTGCAAAGCGAGGTGAGGTGATGGAAGAGAGTGGGGTTTCAGAACCGTGGACCGACGAGCAGGCCCCAAACCCGCAGAGCCAGGGCTCCATCTGCAGGAAGCCGGGGGGCGGCAGCACATGGGACTCCTCTTAGGTGCCACCGCGCCCCCTCTCGTCCCCTGCTGCCGCTGCCGAGCGGCAAACAGGCGAACTCTGCTCTGCGCACGTACCTACACTTTCCCGCTTGAGGCCGTCATGCTCACCGTACTTGAATGCACACAGGGGGCACAACAGGGCCAGGGGTTTTACAAGACGCCCCTCGGCTTTTGCTATCTCGCGGCAGGGAGGGCTGCACACCGAGAGCCCTGGGGAAGGAGGGCTCCTCCCTGCCCCGCCCGGCTACAAAGCTATGAAGTGCAACCTGCCCAGCCTCAGCTTCCCAAGTGCGCAGCGGGTGGCATCTGCTTCCCGCCCTTAGGCTGTGGGCCTGACCCAGGCGAGAGGAGCCGGGAGTCTGGGGGCAAGTCTCAGGTAACCGCACCACGAAGGATCATAATTATAACCGTCTTTGCAGCCGGCCTTGTCCAGAGCGACACTGGGGTGATGAGGAGGGCGCATCGGCCTGCAGGGAGAAGCCACACACGAAGCCCAGGCCTGGAGACAGATGAGCCTCACGTGACAGGCACCCCCAGCCCTGGGGCGGGTCTGACCCACGTGGCCACCCGCAGGCCTCGGTGGTCAGCGCCCAGACCCCCGCTCGCCTACCCAGGAGCCGAGGCTGGAAGCCCCCAGCAGGGAGGAGGCAGGGGACGGTCGCCCCTAAGGAAGCTCTAAGGTACCAATTGCAGACACATCATACACTGCTGCCCCAATAGAGTCCAAAAAACACTTTATTCACTCGTATCACTGAGTCACTCCATCAGGAAAACGCAGAATCACGGTACTGGATGCGTGCACGTGCTGCGGGCGGGCGCAGAGCCGACGTCCAGGCGGGCGGGCGCTTGCTCAGTGCTCGTGCACGAGCCCCCCTCGGCCGGCAGACCCTGCGGGAAGCGGCAGAGTCACAAGCCCCAGGGAACGCACAGGTGAGCACAGCTGGGGTCTGGACCGCTGCCAAGGGCGCAGAAGCACAGCTCTCGGGGACCCCAAGCTGTGTCTGCTCCTCACACAGCGTCTGCCTTTCCCCGCGGCACTTACCTAAATGCCGCCTCTGCAGCAGCCCCGAGATGCTGAGGGGCTGCCTGGGTGCCGCCCCTGTCCCGGCTCTGCCTGCTGCCTGGGGCGCAGGGCTCTGGCTGGGCCACTCCCAGGGCGTCTGCAGGGCTGGGATCCTAGCGGTAAATTCAACAGACAAAATCACCACCGCCTCTGGCCACGAGGTCATTTTCAAGGTGGCGCGGCCAGCCTGGGGCCGCAGGTAGAACGGAGCAGCTCACGCGCAGTGCACGGCAGGCAGCCCCACAGGAGGGCTTCTCTGGGCCGTGGGGACCGTGGCAGGGCCCCCGAGAACTGCTGCCCGTTACCAGGGCCCAGGACCTGTGTCGTTGGACCCTCCCACAGGGCCCCTCTGTGCTGACGCTGAAAGAGGCAAGTTACAGTCAGAGGGCACGGAGCTGGGGCCGGCTCCTGCCGTGGAGTGGGGTGCAGCAGCCTCACAGAGGTCACGGGCGCAGCCTGCGGTCAGGGAGGTAGGTGGGTGGCTCTGTGAGTCGAGGGGCGGTGGGCACGCGGTCTGGAGGCCCGTGGCTGGACTGTGCCGAGCCGCAAAGCGTGGACAGGCTTTGGGAGAGGGGTCGGGGTTAGGAGAGGGTCCACCTTTGGAGACAGCACCTGAGTGCCCAGCGCTGAGGACAGCGCCCCGCGTGGAGGCGGCCCTGCGTCCAGGAAGGGCACGGCTGCTCCTGTGCAAATGGTGGCGCTGGGACCTGGCCAGGCAGAGGGGCAGCACCGGCCACAGCGGCCACCTGCCCTTCAGGAAACCCTGCCGACCCCGGGCTGTCCTGGAGTAAAACGTCCTGCAGCCGTAATGGCTCTTCCGCGGTTTTTCGCGACAGGGCACCTGCTTAAGTTACGTTTTAGCTTCAAGAACATGACGTGGTCTTCTGGGCACCGCCTCACTCGGGGCCTGCAGACGGCGCCGGGACGAGCGGGTCCCTCCCGCCCCCACCTAACCCTGTCGCCCCCCCAGGAGCCACGAGCGGGACCTACCTGAGTGCCTGGGGCTCGCTGGGGTGACGCGGTGTCAGGCCGAGGTGCTGAGGGCGGTGGGCAACGCTGCCTGGGGGCGGGTGAGAAGTGAACGAGCTGCTTCCCCATCCCTGCCACAGGTGGAGCCCTGCCCCTGCCCCGGGAGGGTGCGGACCCCACCCTCTTCCCCATCTTCTCACCCACGTGCGCCGTCCTTGACCGCGCAGTCTCATGCCCGGACCGGCCGGGTGACCTTCAGCCACCGCCCACACCCACACTGCCCGCGGACTCCGTTGGGGGCCACCCCTGGTATGCGGCAGGCGCTCAATAAATGTCTGGACACCTGCTTTAAGCCTTGGCTCCTGTTACTCTGACAACCACTCGGGGGACAAGAGGGAGGGCGTGGGGCTGCGGGCGACCCCTGGCGCCAGGACAGCCATGTCACCTCCACCCAGACCACAGGAGTTTTACACAGCTCGACTTCTGCCCGTTGACAGCTTCTGGGCTAATAAGAAGCTTCTTTTAAAGATGTAAATGATCCCTGGTAGGCTTTAGTCACACCAAGGAGCAGACGTGAAAAGACAGCTCTTCCTCAATACCTGAATCCCTCTGCATCTAAATTTTGGAGAGTTTCAACAGAAGGAAGCCAGGGAAAGAAGGGTAGACAGCATTTAGGTTAGGCTCCCTCTGTGTCCTTTCACGGTGACCCTTTCATAACCAAAGAACCTGGACCAGAGAGGGTGAGTGACTTTCCCAAGGCTGCACAGCACGAAGTGGGCAATGGGGGTCTCATCTCTTTGTCTTGGGCCGTGCGGACTGTGAGGACACTGCCCACTGCAGGTGACCCTCAGGAAGCCCCAGAGAACAGCTGAGAGCCAGGCGGACAAACCATCTCGGCAGCTACATTCATTGTGTTTGTGGTTTTCTGTACTTTATGAGGGTCTGGCGTCTGGGGGCCTTGCTGACCCCGGAGGGCCTTGCTGACCCCGGAGCAGGGCGGGCTGACTCCCAGAGGTGGCGCCAGTCTGCCTGTGAGCGAGCGCAGCGTGCCTCTGATGTGAAGAGCTGCCAATCCAGAGCCAGCTCTAAAGCCCCCTCCATCCGCTGCCCCACTCGGCCCTCATCAGCCCGGCTGGACCTCAGACAAGCGGGGCGGCTCCCACATCTGCGACCACAGAGACGGCTCAAGCCAGCCAACCTCAAGCCTGCCAGCCTCTCCCGCGGCCCTGCCATTCCTCCCTTGAAAACCGCGGCCCAGGCTCTGGCCCAGGCCTCCGCCTCACCCCTCCTGGCGGCCGTGCCGCCTGCTTCCAGGAACCGTGAGTCCACCTTCCTCCTGCACGGCGGTGGCTCCTGATCTGTCGGCCTCACACACCCGACGGGTCCCGGGTACAGTCCTCTGTTCAGTGACTACACGCTCGGCCCCACGACGGCAGACAGCAGCAGTTTCTCACGTACGCTTTACAGGACTTCATGGGGACAACGGCTGTCAACACAGCTGAGGCTACCGAGGCCTCAGGAAGTCAACAGCTCATGGGTCGTGTGGGCAGCACTCTGGCCACAGGGACAGCGGGTGCCAGGCCTTCAGTAGGGGGTCTTTCAGGTCCTGCCTGAGAACCATGGGCCACGGCAGGTCTCGGTCCTGAGGGCAGTGACCCCGGGCGCCGCAGGAGGCCCGGGCAGCGCCGAGGAGCCGCCCCCTGGGCCGGTGCTCCTGAAAGCCAATGACCGGACAAGGCTCCACAGCCAACAGGACACATCCAAGCCAGGGCCGAGCTTCTGTTCAGGAAAGCGGTGTGGCTCAATGCATTTGGAAAGATTTCCATTGAAAAATTTAAATGGAAAACATGTTGACATTTAAAGAGGGTAAGTTTCCAGGTGGAGAATGTGGGGACGCTCGTGTCCCTCTGCTGCCACGTGGACAGGCTGCGTCCTGTGGACGAGACCTGGGCACTGACGGCTGGGCGGCCCGAGACGTGGGAGCGGGTCGGCCTCGCGCACAAGCTCGTGGGACAGACCGGCAGGGGGGCAAGGCTGAGGTGCCCGCGGTTCGTCAACTCACCCAGGCAGTGCTTGCCGAGAAGGGGCCTCCAGCTGGATGGAGCTGAAATCCACGAAGCTCCTTCCCAAGACCGAGCATGAGACGGGACCATTTTAGGACATCGTCTAAGACAGACAACAGCGTCTGTGCCCAGATGCCCACTGCCGCCTGCCTGGGAGGGGGGCTTCCTTGCCTGGGCCGTGAGCGGGCCCCTGTGCACCTGCGCCTTTGCGTTGGGGGTGAGAGCAGGAGGAAAGAGCGCGGCCGGGGGTGGCCTGCAGGGCCTGGGAGGGCACAGCTTTGCTGCGTGCAGAGCAGAGGCTGAGCACAGAGAGGCTGCCCTGCCTGAGAGACACCTGGGCGCCAGCTCGCGCAGACCCGCAGAGCAGCCGCGGTCACCCTGGAGGAGAAGCGCGAGGTCAGAGGACTCACACTTGACGAATTCGAAAAGTCCTCCAAAGCCACAGTGAGCAAAGGGCAGAGACAGTCCTCAGAGCAAAGGGGAGAAGCGACTCGTCACACACGAGGACACGGCTGAGGGCGGCGACCCCTCACCAGAAACAAAGGAGGGGCCTGAGGCAGCAGGACGACTCGGCAAAGTGCTAAGAACAGTCATCTGAGAATTCTCTTCCCAGTGAGATTATCCTCAAAATGAACACATCATCATTCAAAGGTGACAAAAACTGGGAGAATCACAGCTGGCCGAACTGCCCCACAATAAAACGGACTGAAAGGAGCACCCACCCACAAGCACTCGGTTCCACAGGAAGACGTGGGCCCAGAAACCTGACAAGCGCGAGGGGCGCGTGTGCTTCTGCCTCCTCTCCTGATCTTTAGGGCACGTGAGCTTCTGTAAGGGACGTCATTACAGGCCTATCGCTGGGGTTCTATGTAACCTCAGTGGCTACACATAAACAAAGCATCACAAAGCAGCGAGTAAATGGACTGCACGGGCAAAGCTGCTGCATTTGACCAGAATCCAGTTGGGTGGCCGATAAGAGGCGCAAGGCTACCCCCGAGGCAAGACAACAACGAGACAGCGTAAATATCAACGGAAGGTCGAGTCTCCCAGTCCGCTCTGGCCGCCACGCCCCAGACGCTTATTTCTCACAGTCCCAGAGGCTGGAGTCCAAGGTCAAGGCGCCGGCAGACCTGACTCCTGGTGATCCCGCTTCCCGCCTGCAGACGGTGCCTTCCTGCTGTGTCCGCACGTGACCTCTTCCCGCGCGCGTGCCGTCTCTCGTGAGGACACGAATCCTATCGGATTAGGTCTCACCCTCAGGATGGTGCTGACCTCCTAGAGACCCCCGACTCCGAATGCACTCACAGCTCTGAGGGGACACGGGGCACTAAAAATAGTTAATGCCAAAGAAGGCAGTTAAGGAGATAACAGATAAACAAAAACTCCCAAAAACACATGGCAAAGAGGCAGACATCAAACCAAACCTATTAGTAACCATGCTGACTCAATGGACTGGACACTCCAGTCAGAGGCAGAGATTACAAGCAGCATCCCACCACACACTGTCCACAAGAGGCACACTGTCCACAAGATACACACTGTCCACAAGAGGCACACTCTGGCTTCAAAGACACAATCAGGCGAAAGAGAGGCACGAAAAGACGCCCCATGTAAACTGTACCCAATCTGAAATTAAAGAAAATTCCACTATCAAGACAACTCACTACTCGGGTACCGGTTTATGGATAATGCCTAAGTGATTCCTCAGGTCAATCGGGGTCCGGCAAGCGGAGAGGCAGACACGTCAGGTCTATGGACCGGAAGACGCAGGACTGTTGAGAGAGCAACTCCCCCCAAACCGATGAGCTCCTATCAAACCCCAGCAGGCTTTTTTGGTAGAATGTGACAAGTGGATCTTAAGATTCATATGGAAATGCAAAGCCCTTAGAAGAGACAAGATTACTTTGGTAAATTAAGAACAAAGTGTCTGATCTCAAAACTTAACCGTAAAGCACAAGTAATCATAACAATGTGGCATTTAGGAAAGGAAGGATGGAATATACTCGTTGACGGAACAGGAAGTCCAGAAGGAAGCCCTGACAGTTACGATCTGTCAGCTACGTTCAATTCTGGCCTGTTGGTTGTTAGTATACAGAATTACAGCGGAGCTCTGCGTGTGGATCTCGCACCCTGTAGCCTCCCCAAGCTCATTTATAATTCTCGACAGTATTCTTACAGATCCCTTGGGATCTTCTACAGCAAGACCAGCTGTCTACAAAGTAGTTACACCTCCTCCTTTCCAACCTATGCGCCTTAATTTCTGCTCCGCTAGCGCCTCCAGGACAAGGCAAGTAGACGTGACGGCTGTGGGCATCCTTGCCCTGTTCCTGGTCTCCAGGGAAAAGGTTCCACCTCTAGGGTCTTGGCCACTCTGTATCAGACTGAGGAAGTGCCCTTCTAGTGCGTGTCTCCTAAGAGTTTCTACCACGAATGGTTGCAGAGTTTTATCAAATTCTTTTTCTGTTGTAAAGATCTTGTTTTTTAGGTATTTCATTCTACTAATATAGTTAATTGATCTTCAGATGTCAATAACCTTGAATTCCTGAGATAAACCGCACTTGGTGATGGTATATAAACCCTTTTATATGTTGCTAGATTTGATTGCCTCGTACATTTTTAAAGAATTCTGCACCAATATTCACGAAGATTATTGTTCAGTTTTTTCCTCATGTTATCTTTGGCTGTGTTATTAAGACACCACTGACATAAAATGAATTGGGAAGTTTTTGATCCTCTCCTACTTTCTGAAAGAGTTTATGCAGGACTGGTATTAGTTCTTCTTTAAATGTTTCAAAGAATTCACCCATGAAGCCAGTGAGAATTAGGCTTTTCTTTGTGCAAAGATTTTAAAATTACTAATTCAACTTCTTTACTTGATAGAGGTCTACCCAGACTTACTATTTCCTCTTGAGGTAGTTTTGATATTTTCTAGGAATGTGTCCATTGCACGTAAGTCATCTACTTCGTTGGCAGAGTTGTTCATAACATTCCTTATAATCCTTTTATTATCTGTAGGATGTGTAATGATGTTCCTTCTTTCATTTCTTATACTAGTAATTTGTGTTCTCTTTCTCTCTTGGTCAGTCTAGGCAAGAGTTTGCTAATTTTTTCGAAGGATAAACTTTAGGTTCCATTGGTTTTCTCTATTGTTTCTGTTTCCTGTTTTGTAGATTTCTACTCTGTTCTCTTGTAGCTTCTTAAGGTGGAAGCTTAGATTACTGCCTTTAGATCTCCTTCCTAATATAAGCGTTTAAAGTTATACATTTCCCTCTAAGCCCCGCTTTACCTGCATCCTATAAATTTGGTACACTGTATTTTCTTCCACTCAGTTCAAGCTACTTTCTGATATTACTGTTGACGTTTTTTCTTTGGTCCATAAGTTAGTTATAATTGCATTGTTTAATTTCCAAATATTTGTTTTATTCTCAGAATTTTTTTTCTGTTGATTTCCAATTTAATTCCATTGTGGCCCCCAAATACACTCCACATGAACAGTCCTAAGTATCAGGACCTGTTTTACGTGCCACTGTGTGACCTTTTCTGGAGAATGTCCCGTTTGCACTTGGAAAGACTGTGCACTCTGCTGTTGCTGGTGGTGTCGCGTTTGTCAGATAGGCGGTCTCTCGTCTTCTTTCTGATCACTTGTCTGGTTGTCCCATCAACTACTGATAGTGGGCTACTGCAGTGCTCAAATCATGTGTTGAATTCATTCTTTCTCTTTTTAACTCTGGCCTCATGCAGTTGGGGACTTTCTTTTGTGGCGTGTTTGCACTAACGGTCATGTCTTCCTGATAAATGGACCTTTACTCATCATGAAATGCCCCGTCTCTAGAGACGTTTCCTATCTTACGACCCGTGTGTGTGATGTGAGGACAGCTGCTCCGGCTCTGTACTGGCTGCTGGCTTGACGCACCCTGTACGTTATCTTGTCTCAGCCTATTGGTGCCTCTGGCTCCGAGATGTGTCCCTCGCAGACAGCCTGCAGCAGTCTGACGTCTCTGTGTCTGCTGCACACCCGTGGCTGACATCAGCGTGTCCACTTTGCTCTTTGTTCCCTACACGTCTCGTGTCTTTTTCGTTCCTGCTTCCCTCACAGCTTTCCGTCTCTGAAGGGAGAGCACTGAGCTCCCAGGACCGGATGGCTGGCTCTTCTCTCCATGGGCAGCTTTTGCTCCGTGTACCTGCTCTGCTGTCAGGTGTATACACATTGGTAACTGTTGTTTTCCTGACACCCTGTTACCACGGGGTGTTCCTTCTGCTCCTGGTCTCCAGAACAGTCCTCGTCCCGGTCTGTTTCTCTGGTGCTCATGCCGCGCCCCAGCCCTCATCTGGCTGCCACACGCACGGTGTCCTTCCACTTGGAACGTGTCTGTACTGCTGTAGTTCAAGCACGTCTCTCCTGGGGAGCGTGCGGGGCATCTCTTCCCTGGTGTGGCCAGTTGCTCACGGGTACTGGGTGGCTGACGCGCACCTGCACCTGCCATTCTATTTGCTGGCTGCACCTCACTCTCTTTTCTGTTAGTCTGCCCATGTCGCCTTCTAAATGCTTTTCAGTGTAATTATTTCAGTTCCTCTTTTAAACTGCATTTTTGTTTTTTAAAAAACTGAAGTATAGTTAATTTACAATGCTGTGCTAGTTTCAAGTGTACAGCTATGTGATTCGGTTACACACACATATATCTATATTCTTCTTCAGATGCTTTTCCATTTCAGGCTGTTACAGGATGTTGACAGAATGGATAAACAAGGTCCTACTGTACAGCACAGGGAACTACATTCAGTATCCACCAGACGCCCGTCTCCTGAGGGAAAGATGCTCCCAGCGCCGGGCTCTGCCCCACAGGCCGGCCTGCAGACGTTGACCTGAAACCCACACCCGCACGGCAGCATGACAGTGGGGGCACAAGGCGGGGACGTTGGGCCGGGCACGAGGGCGTTGACGCCCACAGGACACCCCAGGGCCCAGGGGAAACGCCACCTCCAAAACCAAGGGAACCCTGATGGGCGGACACTCCAGCTGCACAGGAGGACGGAGGCGGGAAGCATGAGGAAAGGGCCCTGGAGCGACAGATGGCCTGGGATCCCAGGGGAGGGCAGGGAAGGGGGACAGGAAGACACAGGCCTGACCTGTGAGCTGAGGCTGGGAGCACAGCGTCCACGAAGGGGAGAGGAGGGGAGGGGAAGGGAGGAAGGGGCAGGTGCAGCAGCGATTCCAAAGTGCAGAAGCAAATCAAGCCCCAGCCGGGTGCTCAGGTGCAAGGGCGGCAGCAAGAGGCCCTAGACAGCCGCGGCTCAGAAAGCCTACACCTCAGAGGCAACTATCAGAATCTCAACCTCAGCACGAAGAAAGCGAACCTAAGGACGGAGGTGCAAGAAGCAGTGGCAGGAAGGAAAACAGAGGGGCTGGCGATTAAGAACGAATAAGCATCTATCTCAAATGTAAATATTTCCATGACGACACACACCGAGGAAACTTCCAGGGCCTTGGCCCGAGTTTGCTGAGGGAGGGGCTTGGGGTGGAGATGGGCGTGCGCCAGAGCCTAGTGCTTTGGGCAAGCGGGCAGGCTCACGCTGACCCCCGGGGAAGGGCCTGGGTGCTCCCCCAGCAGCCACTCCAGCAAGCACCAGTAAGCACGGCAGGCCCTAGGATTCCTGTTCAAAGCCCAGGAGACAGGCCACGAGGGCCCGCCTCCCCGTGCCGGGTCAGGTGGGGCCCTGGATGGACCCAGGAGGGGCCCGCTCTGGGGGAAACGTGCCTCCACATGGACCCACACCCACTGGGTAAGTCCTTCAGCACGTGCGGACCAGGGTAAGGTGGCGGGCCTTCACTTACCCATGCGTCCATCCCGAGGTGGGCTGAGCAGGGAGATCCTTGTCAGGCCGGTGGCTGCCTCACGCTAGGTTGTAAGAGGAAAACAGTTAGTACCGTTCCAGAGCTGCCGCTCTGGAGGAGAGAATCTCCTCTGCTAAGAACACAGCCTCAGTCTCATCTGCCTGAGAAACGAGCTCCTGTCTGACCGCGTTCTGTGCGGGAACGTGGCCGAGTGGGCAGGGCCCACGGTGGTGAGTGGACGAAGGACCCACGGAGTGCTTTTAAGAGTCTCAGAAGAGGAAAAGTAACCCAACTTCTTGGCTGACATTAGGAATTGCAAAGTCCTGAGTAAATCACTTGGGGAGCGTCCTGTCACCTTGAAATCCAGATGCTGACGGGCGTGGCTAGGGCTGGCGGGCAGTGCCCGGCACCAGGTCTGCTGCACACCACGCACGCGGCAATGTCCGCCAGGCGGCGCCCCACCCCACCCGCTCTGCCCCCCTCACTGTAACTGCGCAGTGGGACCTGGGGCGGGGCACACAGCCGCTGCCAGGAACCCAGGCTTGGCACTGCTTCTGTGCCCATCTCTTCATCTCCACAGCCCGTTCTGGCCCTTCCTGGGGCCCTAGACTTGGCCACCGCCCCACCTGCGCCCCTGCTGCGACCTCGGGCCCACCTTCCCAGCTCCCGCGCCCATGACGGTCCTTTGCTCCTGTCAAGCAGCCTCCCCGCCAGCTCAGCGGCGGCCTCGTTTCAGGGCACTCTCTGCAAACGTCCCCACCCCGGCCCTGCCTCCGGCTCAGGCCTGCTGGCAAGACTCTGACCTTGGAAGGACTGGCCCCCACCCTCGAACGTCGCACTGCCTGGCAGGCTGCTGCCCACCCACCGGAGCAGCCTCCCCTGCCTCTGGCCTCCCTCCCCGGCCCACCACTCCAGGCTCGTGCCCAAGGCGAAGGCCTCTCCAGGGTCTGCGAGAACGGCAGGGCTGGCTTGGGGACGCTCACTGCTCAGGGTGCCCTCATCCCATTGCTGCAGTGGCTTTAACGTGGCTCGTGGTGAGCGGGGCCTGACCTCACAGCCCTTCCTGCTGCTGCTGTCTCTCGGCTGCGTTCAGAGCCTCCCTCCAGCTCGGCCACCCTCCCCAGCCCCTCTGCGGCCGCCTGTGCACCGGCCCCTGCCCCTCCTCCCACCTCTGGCACATCCTACATGTCAGGCCACGAGTGTCCAGCACAGGCCAACTCTGAAAAGTTATCGAAGAGAGGAGACGAAATCGCTCCTGTCGGGTTAGCACCTATCTGGGGGAGGCTCCAGTAACAGGCGAGACAGAGTTTAAAGATGCGGAGTGTCCAGGATGGTGGCTGTGACGCAGGTGAGCGCTGGCCGCGGCCCAGGCCGGGGGAGGGCGCGGGCGCAGCAGCTCCAGGAAGCGGAGGTGCCGAGACAGGCCCCCACAGGACCCGCTTCTTCGAGCGCGCCGGGGAGCTGCTGTCGAGGGTTTGGGTTGTTGGCAGCCGTACTCGGCTGCCCTCAGGATTTCAACGGTCACCCGGGCTCGGCCGCGAGCACATCTCTGCGTGGACGGCCAGGTGGTTAGGCCGATGTGGCAGAGACCACACCCGACCAGGGCAGCCAAGGCCAGGGATGGGCCCAACCTTGGGCTGCATTCTGGGGTGGGTCCCCTGCCCTCCACCGGCCCATCAGCCACCAAGTCCCCATAATGCAACCGGGCTGGCTTGTGGGATGTGATTGACACGCTGCGTCACTGCCTCCTCCACACACCTCACTCCGTGGGGAGCTCCTGCCACCAGAGGACGGGTGTTCTGGAGAGGCCCAGGCCCCGTGCCAGGAAGGTGTGGTGGGGCCGTGCGCGTGTGCAGCCCCTCAGGGTTCCACGGGGCCACATCCTCACTGGAGGCCACATCCTGGAGGGGACGACCGGGAGGCCCCTGCCTGCTGCCCGCAGTGCCGCCTCCCCACGGTTCACGGGCTCAAGCACGCCCTCACTGTACACGTGGGTCACCCCCTCCGGGGAACCAGCACCTGCCGAGCTAGCCCTCGAGCATCCAAGGTCCAAGTCCCCATGTGGAACCTCACCGGCGGGTGCCCCTCTGCTCGCAGGTGCAGCCGAGGGCAGGTGGCAGGCTCTGCCTCTCCCTCCCTCCTAGGACCCAGGCCCAGTGCAGGGGGGTGGGAGGGGGACAGGATCCCGCTCTCCTCCTCCAGGATCTCCCTCACCAAGGCCACCAGACTCCTTCCAGGGTCACCTCAGGGAGCGTGGGCACTACCCTCTGTTCCACGGCCACAGGGTGGGCCCAGCCATGCCATCTTCGGGACCTCCTGGGGGGTCTTGGGGTTTCAAGGAGACACCTCACCGCCCCGCTCGGGGTCTCAGGGCAGCCCCACCAGAGAGGCGTGTGCACACCCACCCCAGGGCTGATGGGGTGTCCGGGAGGTGGGCCACTGGGTGGACAAGCTTTCCCTGAAAACGCGCGTTCTGTTCTGTAAGCCACAGCCTGTGACTGATGGCTTTCCTGGAACGTGGCTGTGCCTGTTTGCTCCCCACCGCAAGGAGTGAGTGCTGAGATGGGGACATGGGTCCACGAGGACATGGGTCCACAAGCCCATGTAGATGTTGGTCTAGAACCTCACTTTGGAATCTCAAATCCGTTTGTGGCGTTCTGGTCCCAAGGCACAATTTCCAATGTGCCGCCCAGGAACACATCATCGCTGAGCCGTCAGCCTTAATCTCTGGAACGTTTAACCTCCGGAAACTTTAACCTCCAGAATGGGGCCACATGTGGGCCGAGGCTCGAGGTCCAGCTCCTGGGGCAAAGGCGAGCTGGCAGGGACCCGTGAGCTCCAGGTTGTGGGGACTGCCTCATGAGCGGCTGAGGTCTGGGGCAGGGCGGAGGTGTACCCGCGCCCCCTTCTGGTGATGGGAGACGGCTGACGAGGGGTAGTGGGTGGGAAGCGTCTCCCCACCGGAGCCCGGAGCGGCTCTGCTGCCCACCCGCCCAGAGCACCGCTTCTCGCCAACCAGCCCACATGCTGGCATCCACCTCACAGGTCGTGTGTACTCGGTGACCACAGCAGCACGAGGCCTCCAGGCAGGACTGAGTTCAGACGCCAGAGGTGGGAGGAGGGCAACCCACCCCGCCCCAGCCCCGAGAGCCCAGTGGCCCCACAGCCGCACCCCAGCCTCCCTCCCAGGTCCCTCCTGGGAGCTGCCTGGAGATTGGCTGCCCAGAGTCAGCGGAGCTGGCGTGCTCGAAGGTCATCAGTGACGAGAAAACCATCCACGCGAAGCATGTGGGAACCAGGCACGCGGAGGGCAGGTGCACTCACCTTTCTCCTCGGGGAGGGTGTGAGGTCAACTTCCATGGACTCCACCCTGTTACAGACAGCGAAACACGGTCACGGGCCTGGTTACGACCAAGTAACAAAAACACATGAGGCCCCGCGGGCGGCTCTCCCTCCTGCAGCTGCTGAGCACCCGGGGAGCCCGGTGATCACAGCCCCGCGTGGCCACCTCCTGGCTGGCTGCCCCCCTCCGGCCGCTGTCACTGGGCCCCTCCGCTTCCTGCGGGGCTTCCCGGAAGCAGGAGTACTACTTCCGTCCACCCTACTGCCGGGCCCACACGTTTCATGCAGGTAGGGCTCGACCCACGGCAGTTCCCTGATTAATCAACCCAAAGGCTGGCATGGGATGTGGCCGGGCGTCCCCGCAGGAGCACAAGGCGGCGGGAAGAGGGCGTGCTCCCTACTTTCTGAACGAGCTTGGGGCGGGGGCGGCCAGGCTGATGGGGCCTCGGGCGCCCTCATCACACCTGCTGCCCGTGGGCTCGACTCCAACCTCCCAAGAGAAACACCCCCCTCTCGTCCTGTTTCCTCCACGTCCCTCTGTCCCAGTGTCAGAGGAGGGTCCTGGGGACGACACCCAGCTGCCCAGCCCGGGTCACGTGACCACCCCCCACCGATGCCTGCGGCCACATACCCCTGCGTCTGAAACACCGCCCGCTGGCGTTCGGGGGTTGGGGGCTGGGGGTGCACACCTTGCAGAGGCTAATGAGCCGGACGGCAGGAAGAGAGGCCCGTTGGGCTTTGTGGAAGGAGCTGTGGCGAGAAACCTGGTGCTGGAGCCAATCGGGTCCACTCCGCACCTCGTCACAACCCTCCCCTTCCGGGCGACACTTTACTTACTTGAAACTGGACTTTTCATTGTGCTGAAAGCCGTCTGTTGTGACAATCTCACACTAAATAGATGGAGAAAAGGCATTAATTGAGCCATAAACGTTTACTTCCAGGTAATTCCTTCCAACCTGAAGGTCAAGAAAACAGAAACAGCCTCTGTTCTCCGTGGCGCTGCCCCGTGGCCCCCTCCACAGCCTCAGTTACTGCACACGCCTGGCTGCACAGCACAGGAATGGAGGGAGCTCCCTCTGACGCGCCAGAGCCCAAGACAGTGCTGAGAACAAAGCCGGCGCTCAATAAAGGCCTGCCGACCGGCCCACCAACCGGCAGGGGGACTGGCCGTGCTGGGGCCCAGCTCCCTGAAGGGCACTCACTCCCGCTTCCAAGTGACTCAGTGGAACAAACTGGGTGCCACGCTGGGCGTGTGGGGAGGGCGAGTGTCCAAGGCCCCGCCGAGGCAGGCCCTGTGACGGGGTCAGCAGTGGCGACACCATGCCGTGCTTGGCGGGGCAGACCCAGGCAGGCGTGGTCTGGGGCAAGGGTGCCGCGTCGGGGGCACAGGCTCCCCCCAGAGGGAGACGCAGGCCACATGGTGCACGCAGAGCGGTCAGTGGGTGGGCCTGGCACAGAACCCACCGCGCCAGGAACACTCCACCTGGAGCCCAAGGGGAACAGGCAGATTTGGACCCTGAAGCCACCAGGTGGGAAACAAAGTGCTGTGAGGCAGAGCGAGAATACAGCACCAAAAATGGCCAGGGACGGGCTGGAAGGGTGAGACAGAGCAGCCAGACAGACGCGGGGAGAAGGCAGGCGCGGTGCGGCAGAGAGGGCGCTGCAGGTACCGGGGTCTGAAGGAGCAGGTCACCAGGTGCAGACACCAGGTGGGGACAAAGCCACAGAGGGAGAATGGGAAAGGTAAGGGCTGGAAAATTTCCAGAATTAAGGAAAGACATGATTCCACAGAAAGAAAGCAAACTGCACACCAAGGAGGACAGATCCCAGGGACTGGCCCGGGGGCCTCTTGTCCCCGTGTCAGGGTCAGGCCTCGCCCGCCACAGGAGGTCTCGGCCACGCTGTTCCCCGCAGTCCTTCAGGGAAGGGAGAGGCCTCCTCTGCTTCTGCGCTGGCCCGCAGCTCGCTGACCCCAAACACGCCTTCACAGGCGGCACCGGCAGCTCATGCCCCATCACGAAGGCGGGTGGGTGGAGGCCTTTTCACCCCAGACGAGGCTGAGTCCACACTGGCAGGCGCCCAGCTCCGACTCTGGCTGGTGGCCCCTGGGCGCCCACGCTGCCCGCAGCTGCCCGATGCAGCAAGGAGGCAGGAGTCCACGCACTGGGGCAGGGGGGTCACTGCTGGGCAGACAGTAATCCCACAGGTTAACCTGTGGCCCCCAAGTTGGGACTTCTGAACGTCCATTGCGTTCATACCATGTCTCATAAAACCGAGAACGTGGCTGAACACGGGTGGTGCCGTACTGACCCCCGGGGGCCAGTGGGCCCAGGGCTGCCACAGGGCCCGGACCAGGGGATGGGTGTGCTGCATGCCCTCTCCAGGGAACTGCAGGCGGGGTTAACTCTCCTCCCAGGCCCCCTCCCGTCACCCCAGGAATCACTGGGGGGCCCCCCAAGGGGAACCACTCATGTTTTTAAAAATTCTTCTTTTTTGGCTCCCTTTCCTCCCCTCCAGTTTCCTGCACTTTTGCTTTGACAGAAGTTTCTAGCCAACGGAAGTGCTCTTTCCTCTGCACGCCTGGTTACGACAGGGCTGAGACAGACGAGCAGTCACGACAGGCCCACCGCCACCCTCGCGCCCCGGGCCTCACCTCTGCGGCTGCCCCATCCTCAGCGCTGACTTCCTGAGGGACTCTTCCAGCTGAGAAATCTAAACACAATTGAACGACTTCCAGTTACCACACGCGCTACACCAAGCGACAGTTTAGACGCAACACGTGGATCCTCAATTTCTTAAACCACAAATCAGAACGCGAGTTATGTGGCAGTGGCCCTCACACTATTTATGACTGAACGCGCACCAAGTCCAGGTCACCGGGTGTGTAGGGAATAAGCGCTGGGTGACGCGACCGCTCTTCTCCTCACTGCCAGCCAACTGGAGTTACCTTTTCTCCGTAGAAGGCTAACAGTCTCCTCCTGTGCTTTTCCTGAAATTCTAAAACCTGCAAAGACAACCCGTGTCAGCGGGTGATGTGTGCGCGGCGGCCGCCGCAGAGGCCGGTGGGCGCTTCCTGCAGCCGCCGGCTCTTCCCAGGCTGTGGCCCCGCTGCAGCCTGGCAGCCAGAGCAGATGCCGGCAGAGCCCAGGCTGAGAATGGTCACGGCCAAGCGCACTCCACCAGAGGCAGCGAGGGCCGCGGGTTCCACGTGAGGATCGCGTGGGCAAGGGGGCTGCTGTGCCTCCCTTCCGCGTGGCTTCAGCGGCCCTTGGGGCCCAGGCCGTGGGATGCGACACATTCCACGAGGGCCGATCACCATGTGCTGTCCCTCAGGCAACAGCAACTGGATCACAGATGGCCTCCTGACCAGACAGACCGACCAGGAACCCCCTGACCTGCCACCCCGACTGGGCCTGCGCCGGGCAAGAAGGCCACCAGGCAGACAGGCAGGGCCGCGCCATTCCAGGAGCCCAGCGACCTTGACTGGACATCCGGGGCCAGCAGCACCTGCAACCAGCAGCGTCCCTGGTCCTCCATTTATACGAGCCCCAACCTCCTTGTCTGTGGTGCCCAGAGCCTGGACCGGTCCCTGAGAGTGCCCGCGTACATTAGAAGACGGCGACTGTGATTTCCTCAAGGGAAGAGAGCTATTTTCACCACTGGAGTTTCAGACAACGACACCCACTCTCTCAAAACACTAAACTGAATAGCTTAAAGCTAATTCTTGTCGCCGTCCGCACACAGCTGACACACAGCAGAACCGGGTGCGGGGCAAACTGGGATTTGAAGTCCACATTGTATAAACGCATCACCCACTTCACTACCCCCAGGAATCTGCCAACGTGAGTGCAAACATCCAGGGACGGTGGCCTTTTCCCTGGGGCTCACTGGCCTGGTCCAAACTGAGGGAAAGGAGGCTGGCCCAGCCCACCTCCAGAGGGTGGGGCTGTGGTCAGGAGGGACAAACCCTCTTCAGAGTCTCCTGACCTCCTGGCTCCTACATCCTGAGGGATTCAGAGCCCTTGGGGCAGGGGACATACTCCACAGTGCTCCAGTGAGCCCCCCCCCCCGCTCCATGAGACCAGGGGCGCGTGTCTCCACCCAGGGGAGGGGTGACGGACACAGGCTCTGCCCAGAGCGTCAGCCTGTGGAAGGGGTGCCCCAAGGGGACCCCAATGCCGCCGCTGCACAAAGTCCTCATGATTTGCGAGGTCCTGTCCCAGAAAGGCTCGGGAGCGCACCAACGGTTCTCAAGTCCTGCTGCCCCTGGGCCTCAGCAGGCAGACTTCTGAGTCCTCACTCCGGGCGAGGTGAAGCCCCCGTCAGCCCATGACCGGGTGCCTTTTCCTCACAGCGTGCAGGGCACTGAGGCAGGGCCGTGCACAGCTGGGAGGGGTTTTGTACAGACAGTTCTCAAGCCGCCTTCCCCAATCACCTTCAGCAAGACACAGTGACAGTCACCTGTCTCCACAGCTCACTCCTCCGTGTGTCCTATGCCTGCAGCGAGAGACTAATGTCCCGCGCTGACCCCTGACCTCGTGTCTTGGTGCAGGGCTCAAACTGAGAAACAGGCAGCACCGCCTCTGGGAGCAGCCCCGGGCCGTTCTGGAGCGGCTGGCACACGGGACCCCGCCTCGCAGGCACTGGGGCTCAGCAAGGCCTGTGGACAGGCCAGTGGCTACCTCGACTCTGGCAGGCCATTTCTGAATGAAGACCCTGGTGAGGACAAGAGTGCAGGCCCTCTGTGGCTGATATAGACGCAACAGGACAGGTGAGGCCGCAGCAGGGGCGGGGCCACGGGCAAAGCTGGCCCGGGGAGAGGGGCCGGTGGGTGGGGTGCCTGAGCGGCAGGCGAGAGCAGCCCCACTGAGGGCGCAAGGCTCACGCGGGCTCGGGGGCAGCCCGGACCCTGTGGCCACACGCCATCTGCACTGGCTGGGGCGCCTGAGGCTGAGCGCTGCGGCCTCGGCAGGGGTCAGATGGTTCCAACAAAACAAAATGAAAAAGGGCTCGAGTCCTCACGCAGCTCTGGCCCCGGGGACCTGGCTGGAAAGAGGGTCCCACTGCAAAAGGGGCGATGTGGGCAGTCCCCGGCCCCCGACCCCAGCACTCACCTCGGGCTGATGCTGAGTCCTGGGGCATCCCTGCGCCCCCCTGGAGCAGTCCCGGGAGGATGGGGGACAGCCATGGCCCCACCGGTGCTTCTGGCCACGTCGGAGCCAGAGAGCAGCCTCCCAGGGGAGGGGGTGGCCTCTGCAAGCTGGCTGACCACGGCCTCCAGACATGCAGGCCAAAGGGCAAGAACGGCCAGGCGAGCGGCGCTGCCCCAGGGAAGGGCCTCGGCCTCAGGCAGCTCCCGGCTGCTCCTCCACACGGCCTCCGAGGGCAGGTGGCAGGCAGCCAGCAGTGGGGGCTGCGCCTCTGACAGAAGGACAGCCGGGGGGACCACAGGCTGTCCAGTGACGTCCAGGGAGGAACGTGCAGAGGGCACGGATGGCGGCACTAGCGGCTGGGCACGGGGGCGGGGCGAATGTGTGAAGCAGCAAAGGGGGCACGTGCACGGCGACGAGGAGGGTTGGGCAGGCACGGATGCCACGGGGGCCACGGGGTGGGCGAGGGCTGCACAGGTGACCCCTAGGAGAGGACAGCGTCACAAAGCGGCCCACCGCCCGGAGTCCAGACAGCCCCAGCCCCACCTTCCAAACCCCAGATCTAAGGTCCGTCCCTCACATCGTGAGGCTCAGTGGGGCGTCCTGACCAAGCGACCACTGTGTCCTGACACCCAGCAAAGGCACAGAGACCACGGGACAGAGAGCGCGGCTTCGCCACAGCGGGGGTGGGAGACACTCGCCAACCGTGTGTCCAGAGTGGACTGGTCTCCACAACACCAAGTCTCCAACGGCTGAGGGCAAAGCCTAGGACTCACCTGGGAGGTCTCCCTCGCGTACTTCCTGCACAGGCCGTCTATGCCCATGAAGAGCGCCTGGATGTCGGAGTCCGTCTGAAAGAGAAAAGGCTGTTTCCTCCGCCACTGCCTCCACGGGCCAGGGCTCTACGTGCTTCAGGGCCCAGACTCAGCCACAAGGACGTCACGGCTGCGTCCAAGGGGCACCGAGTACTCCACGGCGTGGGTGAGGGACGGTGCCCCCTCCTCGAGGACCAAGGGCAGTGCTGAGGGGCTCCAGGCAGCTGGGGGGAGCCGCGTACAAAGGAAACAGTGAAATCAGAAGTGGGAAGAGCGATGGGCACGACTTCAAACTGCTCACAAGTACGTGTTATTTATTTTATTTTTTAAAATAAATTTGTTATTTATGTTTGGCTGCGTTGGGTCTTCGTTGTTGTGCGTGGGCTTTCTCTAATTGCGGAGCACAGGCTCGGTAGTTTTGGCACGTGGGCTCAGCAGCTGTGGCACGCGGGCTCTAGGCGTGGGGGCTTTGGTACCTGTGGCTCGCAGGCTCAGTAGTTGTGGCTCACGGGCTCTAGCACGCAGGCTCGGTAGTTGTGGTGCACGGGCTCAGTAGCTGTGGCACGTGGGCTCTAGGTGCGTGGGCTTCAGTAGTTGTAGCACGCGGGCTCAGTAGTTGTGGCTCACAGGCTCTAGAGCACAGGCTCAGTAGTTGTGGTGCACAGGCTCAGGAGTTGTGGCTTGCGGGCTCTAGAGTGCAGGTTCAGTAGTTGTGGCGTACGGGCTTAGTTGCTCCGCGGCATGTGGGATCTTCCTGGACCAGGGCTCGAACCCACGTTCCCTGCATTGGCAGGAGGATTCTTAACCACTGTGCCACCAGGGAAGCCCCGTGTTGAGTTATTTAAAAAGCAAACATGAAAAAGTAGGGTTTACGAACTGGCACCTGCCCACGTACACTCCTCGTGCAGATACACCTGCCTCCCACCGCCACCCACCACCCGGCCACAGCAGCACAAGAGACACAGAAGGGCCGGGACAAGGACACACACAGGCCAATGAGACCAGGAGCCTGGGCCCCTCCCAGTCTGTACCAAGCGTACAGGCCCAGCCGCTCCCCATCTCCGCTGAAACGACAGGAACACTGCACTTAGGGAAAGCGAGATCCGAGCTAGAAACTAGGAAATGCACTCGAAGGGCCAGGGCCCCCGAGGAGCTTCTGGAGGACCCTGTGGAGGGGCGGCTGCAGGGGAAGCGGCTCCAGAATCCACTGCCGGCTCGGAGGAGGGCTGAGCAGGGCGCCAAGAGGGCAGGGGGCCCGTGGCAAGGGCTCCGTGTGCAGGTGAGCCCCGCGCTTGACCTTTACCCGAGACCCTGGACAGCACCCAATGTCTCGAGCCCCATCTTCCAAGGGAAACAGGACAGAAGCCACACCTCCCCTGAGGGCCTGGGTGAGGCCTACACACTAGGGGCAGGGGCCCCAGTGAGTGGAGACCAGACTGATGCCCACATAGAACCCGGTTCTACACAAAGACCTCCATGGGCCAGGAGGGAGGCGAGGGTGTCAGCACTGACCTGTCAGGGCCCAGGGCCTTCCTTTTTTTTTTTAATTTATTTTTATTGGAGTATAGTTGCTTTACAATGCTGTGTTAGCTTCTACTGCGCAGCAAAATAAATCAGCCATGTGTATACATATATCCCCACCTTTTAGGACACTGCAGTGCATTAGGTAGAGTGCCCTGCGCTAAACAGTGTGTTCCCGTCAGCTGACTATTTTACATACAGTAACAAGAGTGTGTGTGTGTCCATCCCAGTCTCCCAATTCCTTCCACCCCACCCCTTCCCCCTTGGTATCCATACATTTCTTCCCTACGTCTGTGTCTCTATTTCTGCTTTAGAAGTAAGATCATTTATATCATTTTTCTAGATTCCACATATATGCATTAACATATGAAATTTGTCTTTCTCTTTCTGACTTACTTCACTCTGTATGACTGTCTCTAGGTCCATCCACATCTCTACAAGTGACCCAATTTCATTCCTTTTTATGGTTGAGTAATATTCCATTGTATATATGTACCACATCTTCTTTATCCATTCCTCTGTCGATGGACATTTAGGTTGCTTCCATGTCCTGGCTATTGTAAATAGTGCTGCTATGAACACTGGGGTGCATGTGTCTTTTTTTTTTTAATTATTTAATTTATTTTTGGCTGCACTGGGTCTTTGTTGCTGCGTGAGGTCTTTTCTCCAGTTGCGGTGAGCAGGGGCTACTCTTCGCTGCGGTGCGTGGTCTTCTCATCGCGGTGGCTTCTCTTGTTGCGGAGCACGGGCTCTAGGAGTGCAGGCTTCAGTAGTTGTAGCACGCAGGCTCAGCAGTTGTGGCCTCGCGGGTTCTAGAGCACAGGCTCAGTAGTTGTGGCGCACAGGCTTAGTTACTCTGCAGCATGTGGGATTTTCCTGGACCAGGGCTCGAACCTGTTTCCCCTGCATTGGCAGGTGGATTCTTAACCACTGAGCCACCAGGGAAGCCACGTGTCTTTTTGAATTATGGTTGTCTCTGGGTATATGCCCAATAGTGGGATTACTGGGTCGCACGGTAGTTCTATTTTTAGTGATTTAAGGAACCTCCATACTGTTCTCCATAGTGGCTGTATCAATGTACATTCCCACCAACAGTGTAGGAGGGTTCCCTTTTCTCCACACCCTCTCCAGCGTTTACTGTTTGTAGATTTTTTGATGACGGCCATTCTGACCAGTGTGAGGTGATACCTCACTGTAGTTAAGGCCCAGGGCCTTCCTGAGGGGAAATACAGATGGAGTCCCCGAATGGGACAGAAGGGAGAGGGAGTGATTGCACTCCACACGCACGGAGACCCCAACAGAAAGCCCTCGCTTTCCCACTTCTAGGAATTTATGCTCTAGAAATAGTCTTACAAGTATGCGGAACTATGGTTAAAAAAAAAATGTTCACTGTAAGATTGTTTGAAATAGTAAAGAAACCAAAAAAACCCAAAGGTTTACCAATAGGAAAATACTGTCATACCATGCAATCACTTCTAGAGAATGTGGGTGTGTACATTCTAGAAAATGTAGTGTCAACTGGGAAACACCCTATAAAAGGTAAATCACAGTAACACGCAGAGAAGGATCCAGAAAAGGACCCACACTCCTGGCTGTCATCAGCGGGAAGTAGGGTCTGGGGGACTTGCACATTCTCTGTTATGATTCTCTGTTACGTCTGAGTTCTGTGTAATTTTATATTTGTAAGCAGAAAAGCAATTTTTATAGATTAAACATCAGATCAAATACACATCTTAGACCTTAAATGTGAAGGAGTCAACTTCAGCGACTTTCCCTCAGCCCTCTTAATTGGAAATGACCCCAGGAAAACCAAACTGCACCACCTTCCTGAGGAGCTGGTGTTGTACTGAAGAAACACAGGCACCCGACTTCTGTTCCCAGGAGCACCACACCTCCTAATGGGGCCAGGCTCTGGCTAAGGAGAAAGTTGTGCAAGGTATTCAGAACCACGCTATTGGACTTTATGCAGAAAGCTTGTAAGATCTCCTACTGCACGTAGCAAAACAAACAGAAGTTTTAGACACCGCAAATGACTAAAAATTGAACATCACATTTAAAAAGAAACACTGCGATTAACTTTCAGATACTACAGATTTCAACTTACACGTTTCGAAAGCAGAACTGTACGACATGGAACTTTACAAATCAAGCATTCATCCCTTTTACCTGCAATAGAAAGCATATTTTATTCTATTAGAGCGAGCAGTGCTTTTAAATACATATAAATGCAGGCCTTCTTGCAAAAGTACACAGGATTGCAGCGCTTGCAGTGGACATGCCTGTGGGCATGCACGTAGCTGAAAAGACTTACATAAGTAACAATCTTTTTTTTCTTGTTTTGCAAATATGCTCCAAAATGGTGGCCATAAAGATCAACAACACAAACTTAGATCAGTCCCAGATATTTCTTACCATCAGGTTTTACAGGAATAACTTAACTTAAAATGTTAAACTCTACAAAATGAAAAGCTCCTCCCACCCACCTGGGAGCTACAGTGTTCTGCCCTGCCCTGCGGCCTCACCCCTGTGGCAGCTGGGACAGCTCACCTGGCGTCGGAGCATTTACTGAGCTCCTGAGACAGGCCAGGCAGTGCCGGGGGCTGAGCACGGAGGTGTCGCGTCCCCCGGGCCGCCCCCACCCCTCGCTCGGCCTCCTCCCTGTGGGGTGCCCGCCTCCCCAGGCTCCTCCCCCACCGGCTGGCCCCGCACTCCCAGGGCTCCCCCCACTCCGTCCCCCTCGCTTCCAGCTCCTGGTTCGGCCCTGCCTGGTCCTCGCAGCCTCTGATCTTGGCTTCTCCACTAGGCAGCTTGGAGGCCAGCCGGCGGTCCACATCCACCGCCACGGGTCCTTCCAGGCAGCACAGCAGCCCAAACCCGGGGCTGCCTCCCCCTCCCCCCCCCCAGCTCAACGCAGCTGAGAAGCAGGATTCCAACACTGCGGAATCTGCAGCATTGCTGGGCACCCCTCTGCTTTTCTTGGTCATTTCCCCCCAGTTCCCTGCAGGGGGTACTCAAACAAGCCCCCATGTCGTCTACTGAGGAAGAGGCCCGTCATGCGCACCTCTCTCCGCCTGCACCACTTGGCCTCCTTCCTCTGTCTTAGGCCGACGGCCCCCCAGGCCAGGCCTAACCCTCCACCTTGTGCTCACCTCCTCTCCTTCCCACAGCCCCGAGGGCTCCTGTCCTGGCTCAGATGCCCTCCCACTAAGCTCCGCCCCTAGCCCTCCCTGGCGCTTCCCGGCCCCGAGCCAGCCTGTCCCCACCATCCCCACAGCATCACGCAGGTCACCCAGCCACTAAGGCCAGGGCCACATGCAGATGCGCTGGCTGACTGCGCTGGGATGCCTGGTTTGACGCTTCTGCTTTCTCTTCCTCTCACAGCCTCCTCCCGTCTCCACCCACCTTCTTTAGGAAATGCTTTTCCCCAGGTGAGAACGGGCTCCTGCATCCCCTGCCTTCAGCCCTCCCGTCACCCCAGCATCTCCACTCTCCTCTCTGCACTAACCTCTCCCTGCTGCGCTCCAGCTGCCCGGACTCCCAGACCCTCGCGTGTCCTCACAGCCCCTCGGTCTCCCCCTGCATGGCTCTCCTTGGAACCTCCGTGTCCAAAGGTAAGGTCCTGGGCCTCGCCCCAAACCCGCTGTCTCCCCGCAGTGTCCTGGATGGCCACGGGAACCCCACTGCCAACCCTGGCGAGCTCCACACGCTGGAAACCGAGATGCCTTTCTGCACCCAGGTCTGCCCAACCTGCCCGCTGCTTCTGTCCAGCCCCGTGGGCGGCTGTCCTGCTCTGACACCTCTCCCCTGTGCAGGGCGCCGCTTCTTCCCCAAGTCCTGCCGCCCGCCAGGTTCCATTTCCCCCAGCCACGCAGACTGAGACTCAGCCAGCCCACCCCTGGGCACGCGACGGTGCTCACCCCCAGACCCCGCATGAACATGCCTGCAGCACCACCGGTGACAGCCAAAGCCTGGAAGAGCCCGAGGGTCAGCCGCGAGCTGGGAAATACACCAGGACACGGCGTCGGTCCCGAGCAGCAGGCAAGGGGCACCAGGGGCAAGTGTGCACGGAGGATCCCGCAGCGAGAGGCCCAGGCAGGGGCCACCCGGGGCGGGTGTGTGTGTGGGGAGCCTGCTGCTTGGCGTTAAACAGTCCAAGCCGATGGACACTAACACGGGTCAGGACAGTGGTTTTCCTTGAGGAGGCCTGGGGTGTGTGTGTGTGAGATGTCCTGATTCTTAATCTGTGAGCTGGTTTCACAGGTAGGTCACTTTATGAGAATTCATTGTGTTTCCATTTAGGCTTTTTTCCTGTATAAACTCTATACGTCAATAAAAACATTTCACAAGAAAAAAAGTACACGTCGATCACGTCACTGCCCGCTGCCCACAGGGGGGGCCGGGGCCTCCCTCGCAGTCCTCTCCCGCCTCAGGCCTCCCCCTTCCTCCCACCCCCTCTGTCGGGGACACTTCTGCATCCCCCCCACCCCCGCTTTTGGCTGCGCTTGTCCTTACAGGGACCAGCCTGAGGTCGGACCCCACGTGGCAGGCGGGCCAGTGCCGGAACTGAGACACTCGGCCGGGGTGCTGCCCGCCCTCCCTGTGGCCCCTACAGTCCCTGCCCCCCCAGCCCGCAGGCAAGCACCCAAGAGTCGCGAACCGGAGCCTGTCGGCTTCTGCCCCCCGACCCCCGCACGCCCCGCCCTCCCCCAAGGCCCCCTGCTCCGAAGGTCCTCTCCCCACCCTCCAGGCCCGCTGACTCTCTCCCCCAAGGCCCCTCCCCCGGAAGCCCCCCCGCCCCCCCACCAGCCCAGGGGTCCAGGTGTGGGCCTGGCCCGAGGGCCCTCAAAGCCCTGACCCAGCCCTGACCTTTGCGCAGGCAGACATCGCAGTACACGTGGCCGCAGTTAGTCAGGCTGAAGCACGCCGTCCCCTGGGGTGGCTGGAAACAGCGATTACAGAACACCCAGCTGGCCATGCTCCACAGCGATTTCCGCTGCCGCCAATGCTGCTGCCCAACCGAAGCCTTCCTGAGACCCACGCGAGACCTGGACGCGGGATCTGGGCGCGGCCCGAGGGCTGCAATTCCACGCCTGCGCACCGCCAAAACTCATGTGTTGGAAGGTACCAACCCGGGAAGAGAGGGAGGTTAGAATTAGACTTTCCTCTCTGAGGGTTGTTTTGGCTGGACGTCGGGGAGGAGGAACATACAGGCGAGGACCTGGCCTCGCTCTTTCCAACGCTGCAATCTGCAGCGATTCTCCTGAGGGCAGCGCGTTGTAGTCCAGGACCTATGTGGGCCCCCGGGCGGCGCCGAGGTGGGTGCGCCGGGACGCCGGCGCAGGCGCAGAGCTGTGGGAGGCCGCTGCACCTCACAGACCGACAGCGGGCCGACAGAGTCAGGTGAGGCCCACGCCTGAGGGCTGGGTGGAAGTAATCACATGGAGGCGGGATGTGCATCGACCTTGAGACACGGTGAGCTGAGCGCACCGGCTAGGTGGACCAGGTGGCGCCTCGTGTCCTCCATTATGCAGGGGGGGGAGGTCAGGGGGAGGGCCCCTCGGTGCTCGCTGTACTGGGAGTGGGAGGCGTAGGGTCCTTGGGGCCCCGGAGGATGAGAGCCAGGAGACAGGAGGGACCAGAGGAACAGCAAGGGGGTCTGGGCCGTCGGAGGTAGGGGTTGGGAAGCTCTGGGGCCGGGGCATTAGGAGACCTGGTAGCCCAGGACGAATGTCAGGATCAGGATGGGGTGTGAGTGGGGCCCAGGGCCCACAGTCTGGACCCCATGGTCGAGGTGGGCCGGGTGGGGCCAGGCGCCGTTGCTTGCCTCTAACACGCACATGTGAAAAGGCTTGACCTGGGGGAGGTTATTTCGCTTTTAAAAACGGTGGATAGGGCAGTTGGTGGAAGGGACTCTCTGTACTGTTTTTTGTAACTTCTAGTGAGCTTACGCTTATTTTAAAATTTAGAGGAAATAAATGGAAGTTGCTTTCCATAGAGTTACACTCCTCGCGGGATGCCCCATCCTCTCCAAAGAGCAGTTTCCATCCGCCTGTGGAGGTGGATCAGAGTGGGACCCACTGAGAAAACTTGGTTCAGAGAAAGTCTCTGGGCCATTCACTTGTGTGGAGAAAAGTGGCCATCTTTCAGGGAAATAGAGAAATGCAGAGATTCAGGACCACTCTAAGTGGAACGCCGTGGGGAAACGAGGTACTCCCTCTGTCCCGTGCTGTAGCCATGAACCTTGTGTGGCCATTGGCCTTTAAAATGTGACTGGTGCAAATTGAGATGTGCTTTGATTACAAAATACACCTGGGTTTCTAAGACTTCCTATCAAGAAAGGAATGTAAACTACCTCATTAATAATTATGTAAACTACCTCAATAATTATGTAAGCTACCTCATTAATAATTATTAATAATTATGTATGGGGCTTCCCTGGTGGCGCAGTGGTTCAGAGTCCACCTGCCGATGCAGGAGACACAGGTTCGTGCCCCGGTCCGGGAAGATCCCACATGCCGCGGAGCGGCTGGGCCCGTGAGCCATGGCCGCTGAGCCTGTGTGTCCGGAGCCTGTGCTCCGCAACGGGAGAGGCCACAACAGTGAGAGGCCCACGTACCGCAAAAAAAAAAAAAAAAAAAAAAAAAAAATTATGTATTGATCATATGTTAATATGGTAATATATTTGATCTATTGGGTTAAATATAGGTCACTAGGGTTAATTTTACTCTTTAAAAAAAACTTTTTTAATGTGGCAACCAGAAAACTTAAAATTTACACATATAGCTCACATTTATTTCCGTTGGACAGTGCTGACCTATACCAATTTTAAAATAAGACCTGGATCATGTATTTATTTTATCAAACTCAGAAGCCACATTGTTAAAGTGATATTTTATCAGTGTTACAATGATATAACATCAGTTCCAACCTCTGATGTCTTTGAAATCAGAGAAGTTATGCACACTTATGAATATATTTTGATATTAACTCAAACACGCAAGGTAGAAGGTAGTTATTTGCCTTTATTAATATTTTTAAACAAGTTTCTTAGCTATGAAGAAGTCTTTAAGGTACTTTATTTGGAAAATTCCAACTGAGATAAAGATTAGTGTTTGTGCAAAGGCCCACCATAAAACGTTGCTGTTTGTATCTTCACTGGTCATTCGAAATTCTTCTTCACGGTCCTACGCAGAAGAGAAATAGGCAGGTTAAGTTTCTTAAGGTACTTCATGCATGAATTTGAGGGGAAGGTGCTGTATGCATTCAAGGTACTTAATGTCACCCAGGTAATCTCTTATGCCAAAGTGCAGTATCATTTTCTAAGCCAAGGGGTGTTGTTAGTCAAAGACAAGGAAGAAGAGTCATCCTTATAAAACACACTTTTGTGTTTTGGCGTAAAGTATCAGGTATTTGATCTATTACTTTATATGTTTTATTTGTTACCATCAAACAAAGTGAACATTACCTAATTGACAGATGTTCATCATTCAGGTTCTTACTTTACTTTAAGCTGGGCACTGTGCTCATTTTATTTTCCAGATAAAGAAACAGAAGCTCAGAGACGACAGAAGGTTAGTGAGTGGGGCGGGGGGGGCAGATTTGAGCCCACGTCTGACCAGGGTCCACTGAACACAGTGACCCAGGAAACACATAATGTCACAAGAACAAAATGGTGATTTAGAAAGTGGGCACACTGAGACGCTGCGGCCATGTGGGGTGTGTTTGGAAACGCTTATTGATTCATTCTGTAAGCTCACACCCCAAGGCGAGTGAGCCACGGTCCCCTTCCTAGAGGAGCTCATGGTCCAGCGAACGGTGAAAGAGCACTGTCCCCACATCCCCTGCATGTCCACGCAGTCCTAGCTCAGAGGAGGCCCGGGGAACAGGCAGCTTACTCTTTCCTTGGTTCGAGGGCTTCGTGGAGAATTACGTACTGGGCAGGAAGAGGGAGCATAAGCTGAATAGGCAGACTGACCCTTCGGTAGTTTTGTTCTTTGACTATTTGCTCCATTTGCTCAATTAGATGTTCAAGCTTGAAGCTAACTTCATTAACTTTGTCCTTTGCTTGAGCAATGGCTGCATCAAGGTCATGTTCTCCAACTCGAATATCTAAGTGGATCCGCTGTGCAAACAGTAAAAAGGAAGAAACATGTTTTTAACGTGGCTCACTCTTTTTCTTTGCTTTTTCCCTCCTTATGTCCTCCCATTCCTTCCTTTTTCTCCACTCTTCCTTTTTGAGAGCAAACACTACTTCATTCTCGAGCTCTCTATTTTTCTTCACCGCCACTCTGTTCCCTGTTATACCCAGTAGTCTTCCTTTGTAATAATAATGCATTGAACAGTACCTGCTGACCTGAAAGAGTACTTATACTAACAATAGACTGTTAGGCAAGAGCCTTTGCCCCTGAGAGAATTTGATTTACTCAGGAGAATGTTCTTTACATATAACTAAATTTCTGATGCTAAAGTACAAATTCTCTTCATCTGTTCTCAGCACGTTTAGAAAATAGCCAATCACCATCTACCATGTGAGAGTTTTATTTATTGGAATTCCATTATTAATTCACCCTTCAGCCTTCAATTGTTTTCAAGCCTGAATAATCACAGTTCCCTTAAGCTTCCCTCCCAGTTCTCATTTTTCAGGCCCTTTAATCAACTCCGTGGCTCTCCTTTGAACCCCTTCCAAGCTCTCCAGCTCCCTCTTTGGCTGCTGTGCTGAGATCTGGGTATAATGGTCTGCATATCATTGTCGCGCCTGAATAGTGCTGACGCTGCTCGTCAACAAGTACAGGGAGGCACATACTTACCAGCTTACTCCCTCCAAATGACACAAGCCTCGTAGAATTAGATTCTAAGCAAATGATGTGTTCGCCAGGTGAATGTGAAGTGAAATAGAATGTTCCTTGTGGGCCATATAACTTTGACAGTAATACCTAGGATTGAGGATTTCCATAGGTTAAGTTTCTTATTCTCTACTTTCCATTAAAAAAAAATCATCCCCATGTAATCTAGTGAAAATTGTGCACTTCTTAAAGAAGAAATCAAGTGGCCAATAACATGAAAAATACTCAGTCTTGCTGGTAATCAAAAAAATACAAACCACAGTAAGATAGTCCTTGTTGGTTTTCAGATTGGCAAAGACTTAAAAGTACCTGGGGCGGGGATAGTATGGAGAAATACTATTTCTAGACACTGTTTTGGGAATGTAAGTTGAACACCCGTTTCAGAGAGTGCTTTGGCCAAGCGTATAAAACCATTCACCCAGCAGTGCTACATATAGAAATTTATCCTATAGGAATGCCCAAATGGACAGTTATATGTAAAAGGATATTCAGTGTGATGTTATTTATTTAAAAATTTGTGTTTTGAAATAACTAATACCTTTTAGTGTGGATTGATTAAATTTAGGCAAAGCCAAATGAAGAAGTGCTAGGTAGCAGTAAAAGAGACTATTACACCCGTATCTATACTAAAGGTGTCCACAATATTCAGGGATAGTCTGTATAGAATCCTATTTTTGTAAAAAGTATCGTTTGTAAAACTACACGTGCTTAGAAGAAGATTCTAAAGAATATATACCAAGTTATTAGGCAGTTATATTTGTTGGGGAACTTTGACTTTTCTGCTTAGTACATTTCTATATTGTTTGGCATTTTAAAAACAGGTGTAGGACTTCAAGTCTGGCATATAAGGAGCTTGGAAGTTGTCCCCCTGTCTTAACAAGTAAAAAGCTGCATAGAAAGAAAATCAGTTCTTAGATCTGTCAGAGAATTGAGGTCACAGGGTGAACTGCTGCCACCAAAATGGGAGAGGCAAATGCAAAGAGTCCCAGCTTAGCCAGTACGTGCCACCAAAATGGGAGAGGCGAGCAAATACAAAGAGTCCCAGCTTAGCCTGAGCACAAACCTCTGTGGGAACCAGCACGGGCTCCTTTTACCCAGCACATCACGTCCAGCTTTCAACAACAACAGAAAA